GCAAAGCGGAACTTAATTGTTCCTTGACTAGATCGGCGAAACACCTACATTCGTTCATATACGACACTATTTGAATGAACATTTCACGGTGTTAAAATATCTGAACTACAGACTTCAAAACCTAAATCTAGCCCTTCTTGGCGCACAAAAGTTGGAAATGTGATTTATTACCAAGCACATACGATAAAGGATACGTGGAATATACTGCTTATAAAATATAGTCTACAACAATTAAAAAACTTTAGGAACCCTATGTGGTACCTCCTTTACGGTATAGATAGAAGTACGATTTTCCTTACATGAATGGACATCTGTCCGGTTCGTACTTCCACACTATTACGACTGAAAAACGCAAAACATTTTCGATTATAACTGCCTGAGAATGATCTTTGGGGTTAAGCACACCGATTTCGTCTGCACACTGCCTATAACGATGCTGCGTGAGTTTTGAGGGTTGTCAAACACAGCTGGGCTAAGATGGCTTGCAGACGTCTTGCGTCGTCCGCTCCATGAGTTCAGTGCCGTTACTCTTTATCTGACGCTGGCGGCTGACGGAAGATCGGTCCGGTTCGTCGTAGACGACTTGATCAAGCCCCCCAGGTTAACTATCATGGAGCGCGAAATCATAGAGGTAGACTAAGTCGAACACGATCATAGTGTTACAAAGTAGAAAAAAAGTTGCCTGATGCCTGCATATAAAAAAATTGTGCTCTGAATAAAGGCTCCGGGGTTACGCCTCGCATATGGGAAGCAGTAGTTTGAGTGTTCTTCATGATACTTACCTAAAAACTTTCTTAAAAACTAATCAAGTCATTTCGTAAAATGTGTACCAGGTGAGTGGATGCGCATACAACTGAGATTTGACGGGGCACAATTTCTTGGACGTACGCGCTACGTATAAGAATAACTGCTCGAACGTATGGGTGAAAGTGTGTTTACCAAACTGGAAAGGGAATCAAGTTATGGAAAATTTAATCCATCGAAACAACACGAGCAAACGGAAACAATTGAGGACCAGTCAAAAAGGTACTAATGCTTCTTCCAGTCACTGTCCTAAAATAACGATGTATTCAATTGCTGTTATACTATGTCGTATTGTGATGATTTGGTAATGTGATGTATGGAGAAAAAGCCGGACTGCAGGTGACCAAAAACGAATAAAAGTTTGATGTTGCAGGCAAGAACTAGAAAGGGTAGGGTTATGTCGTGAGGTCTTTGAAAGGTCCTTATGTG